CCTGTCTTTGAAAAACTTTGCAACTTCCAATCCACCCTGGGTTGGCATGGATACAATTTCAGTCACTTCGATTGGAATGAAAAAAAAAGGGAACAAGGACTTTCTTGAAACTTCTTGAGGGTTATTTTCTTAGATAATTTTTGTATACATACACCCCATAATGCACACACACATACATCATTACACACCTCGGATGCAGTGTACATCTCTACATGCATATGGAAAATAGTTGCCACTTGATAATTACTCCCACTCATCTACTTCAACCTATGTGTATATATTAATTGTTATTTCCAGGATGCAAACACCAATTAATAATTTATACATTTTTAACCATTACATATACTATGTACAATATACATTATCACTATACATTATTTTTATTACTTTAGTAACAAACGGTAAACATTAAAATATATACATAAAAATTGTTTATTTAATGTAGCATATTATGAAAGATTTACAATATATATGACATAATATTAAAAACATCAAAATTCATTCACTCTAACATTTACAGATATAGTTACAATGCAAATGTATTTACTATAAAAATATGTTACTGTTGATTTTATTATAAAAAAATTTTGCAAATGATCTTACTTTAAAAATGCATTACATTTGATTTTACTATAGAAATGCTTTACAGTTGATTTTATTATAAATATGCATTAAAAATGATTATTTTTTACGAATGCATTGCAAATAATTTTACTAAAAAAGTGAATTATATTTATTATAAAAATCCATTAGAAATGATTTTACTATAAAAATGTATTGCAGGTGATTTTACTATAAAATCCATTGGAAATGATTTTACTATAAAAATGCATTGGAAATGATTTTACTATAAAAATGCATCAGAAATGATTTTACTATAAAAATGCATTGGAAATTATCAAAAAGAATTTAAAACTTATTCTCTCTAATGACTAAATATACACTACAACCATAGAAATGCATTGGAAATTATTTACTATAAAAATGCATTGCTCATAATCTTACTCTAGAAATGCAATGCAACTTATTTTGACACTTGTTGTTTCTGCAACCTGTGATATAATGAGTAGGAGTTATTAAACAAATTCATCAAAATTTACATTCTCTATTGATTACCTAGCGATACAACAAGTACTAAATCCACTATGAAATGCATATTACTGTGGTTCTCTCCTAAGCCTGTGAACACACCTGAATATAATATTAATAATTCAAATTTGATAATTTTATTTTTATAGAGTAAAAAGGATGTATTTTTGACACCCCATCCTACTACATCACTGAAGAATTTATATTTGCCCACACTTGATGAGTGGGTCTCGCTCAATGATGATGGTCATTCACAGTATAATGAATAAATTTCAATATAAGCACTCAAGTTTTGCATGCTGGACATTGAAAATTAGGAAGAAAGCAATTGTCAGGGGTCAGAAATTTATCCAAATAACAATGATTAAACAGTGATATGCATAATTTATGGACACAGTCCTCTATATAGCTACATATATATGTTTGTGTGTGTGTGTGTGTGTGTGTGTATATATATATATATATATATATATATATATATATAGTTACACATATATTTATAATGGGCATATGGTTTAGTGATTAGAATATTCACTTTTCAACCATAAGAGTTCAGTTTGAATCTCACCATGTCAGATTTGTCAGGCAATTGATTCCTAGATGTTATTGATCTGGTAAGGTGACATTTGGAAAGTGCCTAAAAATCATACCATGGGTTGACCAAGCCTTGTGACTGAAATTGGTTAGATGGGATTGTCTGGAATCTGTCAATGGTTGTTCTAGCACAAAGTCACAAGCCATTGCAACAGAGGGTTTCAATGTGCTGGCTTTGTTTAACTGCTGGTCAAAAAAAAAAAAAAAAAGTTATGGGCTTTCTCTCAGAAACTGTTACTAAGGTCTGCTCAGTATGGTTGCATTATAAATCAAGGATGGACTCTGTTGTTTTTGACCACCATAAATGTGCCTGAGCAGGTGTCTGCTACAGGGATTTCCACCACAGACGAATGTAGTCAGAAAACAAGAGCAGCCAGCCAGTATTTATTTATAATATACATGATATAGTTTCTGCTTGTGAGTGATAAATGATACCTGCTATTTTTTCCCAATCAACAGTCATTTGTGTCTTTGTGTGTGCGCATGTGTATATATATATATATATATATATATATATGAAGATGACTGCATAATTTACTTATTTATGTGTATATATTTTTAATTGAGTTTGTTCTAGGCAAAGCAATAAAGCCACTAAGACTCAAGGATAAGACTATCATTTAAGGATTCCACAAATAAAGTAAGAATTTATCTACTTAGTGCATATACATGTTTGAGTGAGGTCCCAGTTTAAGCAAAAAAAAAATAGTGAAATTAACACCTACTGGCCTAGACTATTGAAAGTCTTATTAAAGAAATACACCCCTCAGGTGGGATCAAGGCTGAATTCTCTTTATCTTAGAAAATTAGCTTGCATAATTTTTATCCCTGCCAAGAGGTGCATTTTTATTAATAAGGCTTTTTACTGTTTAAGACCTTGAAATGCAAATAGAACCTTACTTGATTATTTTCTTCATAGCCAACTGGTCAAAGTACATCAGATTAACTGACATTTTCTTTTGCAAAGTGGGGACGCGGGTTCGAATCCTGCCAGAGTGCACATTTTTTTTAATAAGGTTTCATATCCATTAAAAAAAATATTTAAAGTAATAAAAATATGTCTGATAAATAAATAAAATACATTAATTCTTCATATATATATATATATATATATATATATATATATATATATATATATACATATATATATATATAAATATATATATATATATATATATATATATATATATATATATATATATATACTCATACATATATATATATACTCATACATATATATATATAAATATATATATATATATATATATATATATATATATATATATATACATACTCATACATATATATATATATATACATATATATATACATAAATATATATATATATATATATATATATATATACATAAATATATATATATATATATATATATATATATATATATATATATATATAAATATATATATATATATATATATATATATATATTTTTGTCCATGCTGTCAAAAATGACAGTATATATTGTTAAGTTCTTACTATTAGCATCTGTGAGTTTTTAAATATATTTTCCCAAGTAAATTACTATATAATAATGTGAGATCTGTTTATTACTTGGTAACAATATAAAAATGATCCTTCAATTTATGCCAAATAATTTCTTATATTAATTCTGTTTTAACCTTGTCACCAAAAGTGGCGCCATATTTGAAGTCCTTTCTATTTTTAGAAGAGTTTCATATATGAGTTTTAAATATATTTTTTTCCAATTATGTTAATATTTAGTAATTTTGATGTGATAGTTTATCACTTTATGACAACAGGAAACCAATCCCCCACTTTCTGACCACTTGATATGATCTGCTGTTTATTTTTTATTGTATTTTTCCAATTTTCTAATGAGTTATTGCACAACCGAATTGAAATTTTTGAATAAACTGTTCAAAGTTTGTTTTTCTGTTTGAGTAATTTAATTTTTCTGGTGTCATCAAGCTGTCCAAAAACATTCTACATTCAACACCACTTATATGATACATGTACATTTGAATTTGAAGTGTAGCATTAAAAAGAAAAATTACCAGGATGCAATCAACAAAATTTTGTCTACATACACTGACAACACCCAGTTCTTGATAATGACTGACACACTCAAAATTACTAGAATGAAAACAGTACAAAAACATCAACTTTGGACAGTTTATGCACAATTTTGATTTGGATGTACAATTTATTAAAAAATTTAAAAAATGCAATAAAAATTAATTGAAATGAACAGACCTTATCAGTTGAATTTAGCAAAACTTGTTTAAATGAATTTTTACTGCCCATATATATATATATATATATATATATATAATTAAGTAAAATACTTACTAAGGGGTACAAAAATGGACATTGGGGAGACAAAAGTGCTCAACACTTTATAGCAGAGCAAACATTATTTACAAGAAAGATATATATATATATATATTAAGTAAAATACTTACTAAGGGGTACAAAAATGGACATTGGGGAGACAAATGTGCTCAACACTTTATAGCAGAGCAAATATTATTTACAAGAAAGGTGTCTTTCTCAGCCAGCTATTACTTCATGAAATGTTTCATGTGTATATTATTACATGATCATCTTGGTTGTTTCAGCTGTTTTTGTTTTTTTCTGTTAAATTTGGCCTGTGATTGCACTAGAGCAGGTAATATTAACCACCTGAGGATAATGTGCTAGTATACACATGAAAAGTTATGTACTGGCCTTCCAATGGAGATACATTTCTCATATATATATATATATATATATATATATATATATATAGTGGAAAAATTTGACTTGATAATATAAATCACTCTGCGAAAACAAGAAAAAATTCTCTATAATCTTTAAAAGAATAATACACTAAACAAAAAATCTGTCCTTACTAATCTTTAAGATGACCCCTATTGACCCTTACACAAAGAAGGGGTGATGAGGGTGTGGTTCAACTTTTAATCCTTATGTCCACACAAACCGAAACCACATCTGTAGATATTTTAGTTCCTTTAGCCATATAAATTGGGCGGATTCCATCCAAATAAATTTTTTTTTTTTTTATCCTTTCTTTTTCTAATAAACTCCCATCTTTCATTGTTCATTCCGGTGGGGTGGGGGTGTCTTGCTTTTAGTTTCTCCTACTAACCAATCCCTCCCCCCCCAGCTGCTCATCATCAGGACTATTACTTCCCCCTCCTCGTTAACTATTTCATTTCTCCCTTCATACAGTCTATCCATCTCCATTCCCCATCCCTCTACCACCTCTAAGCCCTCTCTTTCCCCCCCCTCTCTCTCTCTCTCTCTCTCTACTGTCTCCATTTACCATCTCTAACCTCTCTTTCTTTTTCTCTCCTCTCATCTCTCTTTCTCTCTATCTCTCTTTCAACAGGCACTGACATTCTCAAAGAAAGCTTATGACTGACATGCTAATTGAACCGCTTTATGTAAATTAACAATTACATACCTACTTTACCTATCTAAATACTTTTCAGCTTGGTTGCCCACTTTTACAGCTACCACCACCACCACCACCACAACTGACCACTACTACTACAACTACTATGAAAGCAATTTTGTAACCAGAACTAACTGTTTTGATAGTATCTACCACTTTGACTATTGCTACTAAATTAGCACTCTTCTTAATCCTGCCTTGTTCCTGACTTACCTGATTAGTTAAAAAAAAAAAATTAAAAAAGCAGCAAAAAATGTTTTTTTTTTTTTGCAAAAAGAGATCTTTTTTATTTATTTATTTGATATCATTTATTTTTTTGAGAGAAAATTAAAAAAAAAAATTAAAATTAATTATAAATTTAATATAAATAAATAAAAAAGATCCCTAAATGAAGGAGGAAAATGTTGCCTTTTAATTTTTTTTTTTTTTTTTTTTTTAGTCTCTATTATTTTTTACACATTACATTTCTGCACCATCAACTGTTAAAGCTGATGGTTCACATAGAAAAACAAGTGACAATTTCCTTTGAGCGCATTTTCTGCAGTACCGTTATTTCTTCGGTCACAATTATTATTATTATTATTATTATTATTATTATTATTACAACTCTAAGCATTATGTTTAATGGATATGGGTGTTTGCGTACACGTCCCTGTTTCTGTAAACTGTGTAAACTTAGGCCTCCCAGCCTGTGCCTTCAAAAGATTTAATAAAGGATATTTGCCTTCTAGCAGGGTTTCAAACCTGCACCCCACTGAAAGCAGATTCTCTTTATTAAGACTCTCAAATGCACAGGCCGGTGGACATAAATTTATACTGTGTAAAAAAAACAAGGATGTCTACTGTAATGACAAAATTTACACAGGTGTAGACTTTAAGAAAGCTTTATGCAACTGAGAATAAAAGGTTTGTATATAGTGTCCTTTTATAGTCCCAGTAAACAGAAATAGCTCTCTGAAAGAGGAGAGTAACAAAAGAAGAGGAGACCACTCTTGGTTATTCATAACATCTACTGAAACACATGTATACACTAAATATAATAAATACTGTTGGATTATTTAAAAAAAACATTAATCCTTTAAAAATTGTTGTCATTACTACTACTACTACTACTACTACTACTACTTTGCAGAATATGGTCCAAAATTCAAATATGGAAGTTCAATATCCTGCAACAAAGCGGGGACCTGTTCAGGGGTTAAGCTGTATAGAGTTGTCCATATAATAATCTTCAGCTCTCAAATACTATTATAGCAAGCAAACTGTTCTCCCAGGAAATTGGTACTACGCAATCTTTTTTTCTCTTTTCCTTGGTTGTACGATCATATACACTCTTCCCCATTCTTTTGAACAGGAGTAGGGGTTTATCCCTTGTTTTGTGTTTAAGATTGGGTTTCCAGTTCCTTTTAAAGTCTTCTCATTCTCTTTCACTCCCTGGCATCTTAGCAGTATTGTTGCCTTGCTTGGGGTGAATGGATTAAAAAAAATACTTATAAAATCTACAAAAGTCCAAGTGGTAGAAATGCTCTTTAGCAGTGGATAACTGAAAGGTTATCGATGATAATGATAATGGGAGTCATGATGGAAAAGATGGCCGGTCATAGTAGTAGTGGTTGTGGGAATTTGGAAGGTGCTCTTTGTGATGGCAGTGTGGATGTAGGGCAGTGTGCGTTCCATTTCCGGGTGATAGGAAAAGAACTCTTGGAAATTTCTCGCTTGTCGGATAATCATCGATTTGTGTTTGGATTTGATGCCAAGCAGAAAGAAAGACAAGAACAGGTAAATGTTGGAAAGTAGAGAAGAAACTCCAATGTGAAAAGAAAATTGAGAAATAAAGAAATTAAACAAATACGTAAAACACTTGATCATTGCTTCACTCTGTCAATACAGGGTACTTTGTAGTACCCTCTTGTCTTTTTTGCAGTACTCCTTATTTTGTTTTGCCAATCTTAATTCAAATGCAACAAATTTTGATGTATTGATCTAAAATTATTTTGCAAATTGTAGTTTTTATTCACAGGACTTTTAAGATGACAAGTGTACATTTTTAAGATGCCCATCTTCAGATGACAAGTGTAAACTTCCAGTTTTGAAAAAGTTTTTTAAGTGATACCCTTCCAGATGTCAGAGAGTTTTAAAATGCCCACTTCCAGATGTTTAGGAAATATAAGGATGCCCACTTCCATATACACTGGATTTTTTTAGATGCACCTCTCCAGTTGTCAGTGAGTTTTAAGATAACCACCCCTAGATGTCAAAGTGTTTTAAGAAACAATACCCATTGTAAAGGATATTTAGAATTCCCACTTAATGTTTAAAAATCTTAAACATGCCAACTTCCAGATGTTAAGAAGTTTTTAAGATGTACACTCCCAGATGTCAGAGAGTTTAACATGCCCACTTCCAGATGTTTAAGAAGTTCAAAGATTCCTACTTCCAGATGTCAAAGAGATTTTTTTAATATGACCCCCTCCAGATGTCAGAGAGTTTTAAGGTACCCCATTCCAGATGTCAAGGAGTTTAAAGATTCACACTTCCAGATGTCAAAGAGATTTTTTTTTAATATGTCTCCCTCCAGATGTCAGAGAGTTTTAAGGTACCCTATTCCAGATGTCAAGGAGTTTTAAGATACATATTTCCATATATCAAGTTACCCACCTTCACAATGCCAAGGAGTTTTAGAGATGTACACATCGATTTTTTTTTTTTTTTTTTTTTTTAGTTAAGCACTTCCAAATAAGATGCCCATTTCCAGATGAGAAGAAATTTTAAAGAAACACACAGCAAGATGTTTTTAAGATACTCACCTCCAGATGTCAAAAATGTTAAACTGCCCTGCCTACCAAATATGAAGGAGATTTTTTTTTTAAGAAACCTACTATTAGATGCCAAGAGTGTTTCAGATGCCACTTCCAGATGTTAAATCATTTTAAAAATAAACACTTCCACATGTTAAGGATATTCAAGATGCCCAAATTCTAAATCAAGAATTGATATTTTTGAGATGTCCACTCCCAGGTGTCAAGGTTTAGTGACCCTCTAGTTTATCTTAAAATACACAGATAATTTTTAATTTCCCCAAAATAGTTTCCAGAGGTTTGTGGTGAGTTGGGTCAAATTGTTAAGTACTTCAGGTACTAATTCCAGATATAAAAATAGCATAAATACTGTTAATATCGTATTATAATTCTGGATGTCCCTCCAACAGTTCACACAACTGTTACACCCTGTCAATACCACATACCTGGTGTAATAGCAAAAATTGTCCAAATCATGTAACAGTAAAATTGTCCAATTGTTAGATTAAGCTTTAAACCATTGTATTTTAGAAAGGATTAAAGATATCTTACTGGAATTCTCTGACGTTTTTATAAAACTATTTCACTCTACTTAGAGCTAAATACATTCTTATTGTTCAAAATTAAAACAATGATCCATCTTACCGTTGTGAGCTCCTGATCCAGTTTTCCCTCTTTTTTTTAAACTTATTCACCATTCTCTTGAATGAACTTTGAAGATGGAAGCCGGAGTATGAATGTTGGTACCATTACTGAAGGCCTGAATGATCTTTTTCCTCTCACCATTGCTCAGTTGGGAAGACATAGTGGGGCTGACACAAAATGATTTTAACCTCTTCTCTTTCAAGCTGAATAACTCAAAGGGTTTTTCAGTGATTCTTACAACAAATGACATCAAGATGGCTAAAGGTTTTATCTGAGAAGCTGGTAAAAAGAAACTCGGTTTAGTGTTTTTCTTTTAGATATTAAACATTTTGTGGGACGGACAATTATCGCACGCTGTTACATGATTTGGACAATTTTGCTGTTACACCTGGTAAATAACGGACTATTCCATTTTGATTGCATTGAAAAACAGAAAAGACATATCAGAGACACTACTTGGTTTCAGTGAGAAAATGAATAAATGAAAGAAAGAAGGGAAGATAGAAGGGTTTAAGGTCTGTTTCAATGAAATGGAAAAAGTTGTCATCCAAAAATCGGGTCACAAATCAGTCTCACAAGTTCAACATCAGAAGATGCTGAGGGCATAAATCAAAACAGTTTTTCAAAAAAAATCCAACATCGCAACTCACAATGCACAGCTACCTTCTTCGCCCATAAAGATGCTAGTAAATTTGTGCTCCAGAGGCATGTTCTTTTATTGGAGTATGAAAGGTTGTGACTGGTTGAGAACAAGAAAGGTTGTGATTGGTCAAGACCAGTAGGGAACAAGAAAGGTTGTGATTGGTCAAGATTGGTTGGGAACAAGAAAGGTTATGATTGGTCGAGACCAGTAGGGAACAAGAAAGGTTGTGATTGGTCAAGATTGGTTGGGAACAAGAAAGGTTATGATTGGTCGAGACCAGTAGGGAACAAGAAAGGTTGTGATTGGTCAAGATTGGTTGGGAACAAGAACGGTTGTGATTGGTCAAGATTGGTTGGGAACAAGAAAGGTTATGATTGGTCGAGACCTGTAGGGAACAAGAAAGGTTGTGATTGGTCAAGATTGGTTGGGAACAAGAAAGGTTATGATTGGTCGAGACCGGTAGGGAACAAGAAAGGTTGTGATTGGTCAAGATTGGTTGGGAACAAGAACGGTTATGATTGTTCGAGACCAGTAGGGAACAAGAAAGGTTGTGATTGGTCAAGATTGGTTGGGAACAAGAAAGGTTGTGATCGACCGAGACTGGTTGGGAATCATAAACAATTACCATATTTCAAGGCTTAGTAAAGTCAACCAAATCTTGATTCTGAATTTCTTTTTTCGCAAACAGCACAGAGAAAACAAATCCTTTTTCAAGCTAAGACTTAATTATCTCCTTAGTCATCAGAATTACTTCACTCCCCAAATCTTAACTCCTCATATCATGTAATAGC